AATACAATTACATTGACTCAAGGGAAGGCTATCAGGAAGATTACATTCCCTCGTGAATTGATTTTTATTTAATCCATGCAATATGTTCACTTTCATTGGTCGTAACTAAAGGAATATGGATGGACCGTGCCTTCCCAATCGAGAAAGTCAATTAAAAAGATGAAATTCCTCAAGCAAAGTTATGTTCCTTTGGAATGTAATGTTTCGATCCCTGGATTTGTATTTTATTATGCCTACCATACCATTTGAATTTAAGACTCATAATTCAGACATTTACTAGCTAGAAAATAAAATAAACACCTCCCACCATTTAGATTTGTTTAGATATCAGAATATTTGGAAAAACTGAGCTATCCCTGCCCAGTGCTCCATTCTTTTGAAACCTCTTGTCTTTTAAACATGTACTTAAGAGAAGTAAGCATGAGTAAACAATAGAAAGAACACATTCCAAACTACGTATATCTGACAGTCGTTTGATTTAATTAATTTGTCTTTCCCCTCCACTTGAGAAAATGAATGAGGCATGTGGCAAGGCTTAGCAGATACAACACCATGTGTATAAATCAGTTGTAAGTATTAGAAATAATTGTTTTTCAATATATTTTTTATTTATTGTTCTATGAGTTAAGAAAAATAACTAAGAATTAAGCATTTATGAGTAAATAGTAATAATATATGTACATGTTCACGAGCACTTGTGCATCTTGTACACTTATACTGCTAAATTCTGACCACTGCAGGAGGATAACAACATCCAAATACCTACCAAATTTATATGATTGGCCAAGACTTTGTACAGAGCCATATCATAAACATTTTCTTGTGCTTTTATTACTTTAGACAATTCTGCTGCAACTACTGTACTACAAACAAGCCAATAAATCCTCTCCCACTGTGTTCTTGGAGCTGGTACTACAATAAACAGTGTGAGGAAGTCCTGGTAATTGCACTACACCAGATTATTTGCTGTTAATGCTGTCATATTACTGTGTAAACAGCCTAATGGCAGGAATGGTGATTCATTGCTTTATGATCCAAGGGTAACTATTTCAGCCATTAACAGTAAAATAGAAGTAAAAACTATTGGGGAAAGTTTTTGGTCAACATTAAACAGAGTAGAACAGTACTACATACCTTCAGTGTTTGCATGCACATGTAATTCCTGGAAAAGTGCTATAATCTCCTGAAAATTACCTTATATTCCCTGGAAAAGTGCTGGTATTCATGGAGATGTATAGCAAAGACTATTTATTTGTTTTTCTTCACAGCTAAAAAATAAAAACAGTACACTGTTTCCAAATTGGTTCATAATCTTGCCAGTTGGCCTTCTACACGCAGTAGGGCCTATAGATATTCCCCGGCCCACTGGTTGCATGTGTCTAGTTGAAATCTATTACTGGTGTGCATGCGTAATAGAACCTTTGCAAATGGTGCTGTGCTCATGATGATCTTTCATGAACGTCGTTGGACCTAAGTTGAATGCATTTTGTAAGGTGTGCAAGAAATCCTTTGGTGTGTCAAATATAGGAGAGACTGCAGTCTGAAGTCATGCAAAAGGAAACAAACACGTGGAAATGTTGAAAAGGAAACTGTGCGGTGGATTTACATGTACAATGAAACAGTTATTTGGAACAGAAAACAAGGCTGGACCTAAAAGTAAGCATAGTTTCATGAAAGTTAATATAATTTGTGATTTAAGCAAAAACTCCTAATTAATATAAATAAAAGAAATATTATAAACAAATAAATTGTTTATCAAATCCACTGTATATGTTTTGTTTATCTAAGTAACTATCAGTATAAGTACATAGGCATATTTTACTTGTTTTGCTGATCTAGTTTATGACAATTACTTTTATCAATAAATGAAAACAACATAAAAAAATGCATATTTATTATTATTAAGCACAGTAGTACTTAATAATAGGGATCGCCAAAGTTTTCAAATAGTACACAT